AAACATCACAACCATTAATATAAACCATACTGATAGAAGGGAAGCCCATACAGGGTACTCTATTGCAAATAGGGATAAAAGTCAAGAAACTAATTACTTTACAAAAACATATGTCTCCATTCCATTCCAACAAAATTACAGATGATATTCAAAAAGAGCTGCATATTGAAAAAAGCAAACCAATGGAATAATTTTGAGAATCAACTATATAGCTAGCCTTTTAGAGCTCCCAGACATTCTCCAGCAGCCTAGCCAGAATTATCCCAAAATGTTTTCATCACTAAGCAATACATGTCTTTTATAATGAAGCATAAAAATTGACTTGGCGATTTCACATTTTAAACATGGTTTGTTGGATTTTACCAGAAATCTCACTATCTGAAATCTGCCCTCACTCCTTTCAAACCCGAAATGACAGCTTAGCTTCTAAGGATATAAATTAGTATATACATATACATATGAAGTTCAAATTCAGATGTGTGTTACATATCTGTACTGCCCACATATGTAAAGGTGAGAACTAGCGAAGACTCAATGTAAAATTTCATCTTTTTCAAAAATCAATTTTAAAAGCATGTTCTAACCAGTGCCACACAAATAACATCAGCTACAGGAAATGATAAACTGTTTACTTGATCACAGAGGTCAAACGTCTAGTTTATATTTTATTTAAACCATAGCATTCCAGGACCAGCTGTCACTTTGTATTTTCATAAACTAGGCAGGAGAGTTCATTTACGTTTCTGCTAACCATGCAAGATTATTTTGTAGACTGTCAAATCACACCTACACCCAATTCCCAGCCTGAAACATTCTTCTTGATGTTGGATATTGTATCCACAAGAACAAATAAAATTAATCACAAGAACAATTATTTCAATTTAAAAATGATTTAAACAATAATTAAGGTTGTCTACTGTGACCTTTTTTATTTTGTTTTATTTTATTGTGTCTTTATAATTAGTTTACATCTCACACTGGATCTCTCTGAAAGTCCGAGACAATTTCTACTGGCAGTGTAGCATCTGCCTTATATCACAGTACAATACTGGCCTAAATCCAGTATCAGTCTTATCTAGATTAGAACCATTAAAATCAATGGGGTTTGCATTGCTTGCGACATATGTCTATTATGGGTAGGACTATCACTGGCTTTAGCTCACTGGTTTATTCTAACTGGACGTGGCTCTCCATAATCTTGGGTAGAAGAGTCTCTCATCATCATCTACCTGATACTCTCCCCCTCCTAACTGGAACTATAAGCAGTTGAACCTGGGCCACTCTGCCTATAAAACATCAATCAGTGGAAGCTGAGATCATATTCAATACCCTCTCATTTTTATTACATCAAACAAAGATAGTCTCAAATTGTTACTACTCCAATTCCTGCACTGTTCACATCTTTCAAAATCTGCAGATACAACAAGTTGTTTTAATTCAAACAAACTTGTTTTAATTCAAAAAGATTGCATGTTCCACTTGAAGAACTTCAAGTTGGATCAGATCTAGGGTTTTTTCAACTGGTCTGGCTTAAGAGAAGTGTAGAGAAAGGACATTTCATTTGCTTGCATAAAAAACAGCCACTAACACTGAGAGGGGTGTCAGTTACAACACAGGCTTTTAACAGTGGTCCATAAATTACCAACTGTGACCAAAGAGATCACTTGCTTGTATCACCAAAAGGTTTTTTAAAAGCATTTACTCCCAACAACTGCTGTTATACCTACGATGTCTAATAGGACCATCTGGAGGGCCACAGGTTGTTCAGATCCTGGAATCCATTCGCTCTTCAAAATTCAAAGAATATTATATTTTTTCTCATTGTAAGAATAGGCGCATTTCTACACAGGCGAAGCTATATGTGGCAGAGACCTCTGTTTCACATATTATGAAGAGATGCATCTATGTTTCTTACTTATTGCAGCTTACTTATGGCACAGTGGTTAAACTGCTGTACAGCAGCTAAAACTGTGCTCACGACCTGGGGTTCAATCCCAGGTAGCCAGCTCAAGGTTGACTCAGCCTTCTATCCTTTCCAGGCTGGTAAAATGAGCACCCAGCTCACCGAGGGGAGGGGAAGGGGCAATGTGTAGCCTGCATAATTAACTTGTAAACTGCCCACAGAGCACTTTAGCATTACAGAGCGGTATATAAGCAGCAGGCTTTGCTTTTATTTATTTATTTGTTTGTTTATATAAATAAATAAATAAATGTTGGTACCTATTTATCTACTTTTGAGCTGCTAGGTTGGCAGAAGCTGGAACAAGTGACAGGAGCTTACTCCACCATGTGGATTCGATCTTACGATTGCTGATCTTCTGACCTTGCAGCACAGAGGTTACTGCGGTTTAACCTGCAATGCTACCACATCCCGTGTTTACGGTGTCTTTTTTCTTTTGTTTTTGCCTGATGTGGCATCAATCAATTTGCACAGCATGTCACTAGTGTGTACCTCCTATAAGCTTAAATCTCACTGATAATCAAAAATAGGGTAGGCCTACTCAGCCAGTGAGATTTACTTAACTGTTTATTCCCCATTCAGCAGCAGAATTAATGGGTCTATTCTCTTTGGGACTACAAACTGGATCTAGATCACAATGTTTAGAATGGTTCTAGATACCTATGACGGTTCTGCCAATTTTATTTTCTTTAATTTAGATTTATTAAGAGACATGCAGAAAATGAAGAATGAGCATGATTCACACATATGCAAAAAATAACAATCACCAAACTCAACTTTAAATCATAGGTAGGACAAGACAGAAGGAAAGCACACAAACACATTGCAACAGAACATCAGATTAGTTGTTTTTGCTAATAACTTTATTTCAAGTGATACAGAACTACAGTAATTTGGACTTTTCTTATAAATGCCAGTGCTTATACTTAAAATTATGAAAGAAAAGCATATAAATTGCATCACTGCCAAATCAAAACCCTATGGTGGTGTTTCACGAATATCCTGTATTATTGCTCCAACTGCTGAATTCTACCCAAACATTAAGCTAAAATTAAGGGCTAAACTTCCCTAATGAACACAATGCAAAAAGGGCCCTATTATTCTCCTCCATCTTAAAAAATGCATAATTCTTGGCAAAAAGAGTTCCATATATCAAGAACAAAAACATGATCATCAGAGCTAAAATGCAATGGTTACTTCCGTAACAGTGAAGAGGACAAAACTAAATAGTTTATTTCAAAATGTAATTGCTAGTCGCTGTTTACCAAAATATAGACCTTTTGTAAAATTTCCACTTTGAAAAAGAATCAATTTTAAATCAAAAACATCAATAAAGTGTTGTGCTGCTCTAGTTACTCTTACAGGACTTGTAAATCTAGCTACGATTAATAGTTATACATTTAAATGAAGCTCATATTTGATTTCTTTTTTCTTTAAAAGCAACAAATATATTTCATAATGACCATAATATTACAGTTAATTTTAAAAAAGCACAATCACATTAAAATTAATATATTAAACTGTAGTGCATACCATACAGGTGGACCAGATTTATTTATATAACTGTTTGCTGCCTTAAGAAAACAGGGCATAAAGAAAACATCATTAAGAAGTATTATCACTACATGTGGTGTTAAGGGCTATGTATATTTTTCTTTTATTACCCCTTTTCTTGCACATTAGTACTATTAACGTATCAACAACTACTTCACTGATCCAATACTTATTTCAAAGGGTCTAATCCAATTCAAATGAAATGACAGCTTAGCACATAACATTAAGGATATCTTTACCTATCAATTCCCCCACCCCAATGGCAGTGTGCAAAATCTCTCCGGAGGTCAATGCCATCATCATGGCTCTGAACTGCAGCCATGTCAAGGAATCCAAATAGCAGAGTACAATACAAATGAGCTGAACACCCAGCTACCACTGGCATCTCAGTGAAGAGGTATTTAATAATATTAGCAGAAGGCCATCCACAGCCTCCTCTATTTCCGTAGTGTAAAATTCAGTCCTTCTCCTGGTATGTCAAAGCAGTAGCAGCAGGTGCGGCATACAAGGCCTGAAGAAAACCTAATGTTTTGAGATCTTTTTGAGTTGTCCTTCAGAGTGGACTGGTGTTTTAGTCATTCAATAGGGTCTAAAAGTGAAATGCTTGAAGGAGACTCTGTCCCAAGTCACTTTGTACCTAAAATATAGAGCTCTACTGTGTCAGTTTCTATTACAACAATATCCATGCAATTTGATAAATAAGTATACACTGTCAAGGATTAGAAGCCTAAGAGCTATTCTGAAGGCACATCATGCTACCCTTCATTCTATCCATTTATTATTTTCATGTGAGGTGACAAGCTTTAAATATGCAAAAATTCTTCTGACTGCTTGACCCATTTATTTGACAAGTAGAAAATACTGGAACAATGTTGCATGGGCACACTTTATATTCATTAACTGTATAATATAGGACTTAGAAAATATATAATGTATAATACAGTGGTCACTGGAAAACTGTACATTGACAAACAAACTACTCTAAGCAATGTTACAAAATTCTGGATTATACCACTTCAAAGTACAGTTATAGTCCCAGAGAAATGTATTAGCCAGCAAGCAGTCAAATACAAAACACTTTCTCCCAGGAATAGGTATGCTCCTGGGCAGTGGTGCCTCGCTTAACGGCGATAATCAGTTCCAGGAAAATCGCTCTTAAGCGAAAACGTCGTAAAGCAAAAATAAAAAGCCCATTGAAATGCATTGAACACCGTTCAATGCATTCCAATGGGCTAAAAACTCACTGTCCAGCGAAGATCCTCCACACGGCAGCCATTTTCAGTGCCGTATAGCAAGGAATCCGTCCCTAAACACAGCAGGGAGCCATTTTAATTACCCAGTGGCCATTTTGAAACTGCTGATCAGCTGTTAAAAAAACACTGTTTTGTGAAGAATTGGTTCCCGAAGCAGGGAACCTCATCGCAAAGCGAAAAAAACCTATTTAGACTATCGTTTTGCAATCGCAAAAACACTGTCGTGAAGCAGATTTGTCGTAATGTGGGGCAATCGTAAAGCGGGGCATGACTGTATTTGTATGTGTGTAAAACACAAAGACAGAGACAGTGGCTCTACTATGTTAAAAATTCAAAGGATTTCATACTGCATATTTAGTTTTTATTAAACCTTTGCTAATCTCTTATTTTCAAATCCTTGTCATCCAATATACCGAGAAAGAGGAACAAGTTCCATGAAGAATAGTGTGAAGCCACATAAAGGTTAATATCCACACAGGAACAAGCAAAAAGGAGCCACTTTGAAATACAGCACATTATGCAAGCACCTAAGCAATGTCTGAAACACTGGCTGGAAAAAGTAAACATCAAGTAAGCAGGAACTAAGTCCCTGTGTTGTACTGAAAACTACATCTTCCTATTGTAGTACTGTTAAGAAAAGTAAAGTCAGGCACCAATATATTTCATAGTTGAAACTGAATGTACAATCAAGTTTAAAGTTTATTGAAAAGGCACAGTTGAAAAAAAATCTTAGAATCAATGGTATCAGGTAACCTTGGTCCTAAAACATTTCAGTATACTATTTACACACTTAAAATTCAATTCAGCATCTAAACTTAGCAATAAAGGCTGGTGCACTCTGTATAATTGACCTAATACATGAAAATATCAGATCTAGACAACTAAGAAAATTAAAGATATTTACAGTCATTATTTCAGTTACACACAGAGAGGGATGGGTCACATTTCTTCAAATTTGAAAAGTAGGCAATTCAGACACTGTAATTTGACAACAAACTATATACACTAATACAGTTTCCTGCATTGGTGGCGTAAGTATCTACAGTTGACAATTTAAATGATGGGTGGGGTGGGGTGGGGGGTCACACAAATTCATTTCAAACAACTTCCTAATAATTCATCTAGTTACGGATCAGAAAAATCTTAAGGAGAGATTTCAGTTTACATCATTCCATTCCCTTTATAGCATTTTATTCCTTCATAAATTATATCAATTATAAATTATACCCAGATGAGAGGCATTATGTCTTAAAATGCTATCTGAACATTTTGGAAGAAACTAGTGAGGATATCGGTACAGTAATACACCACATAATGCAGCCCCATACAACACTGATTAGTACAGCACAGATGCTCAGAGGCTATTCTGTGGTGCTTGTGGGAGGGTCCAGACTACCTAAAGAAGCTAACCAGACCTTTGGGAGACCTGTGGACTGCTCTACCTGCTTTGCGTAGAGGACAATCAGGTCTCCAGGAGACTTACTTTCCTGCTTTGTACTGCAGGTAACCCAGTCCTCTGGAACTCCTACCATAAGGCACAATGTTAAAATGCTCCAATTAGTGCTGATTCTAAGGGCTCCACTTTCCTGGAACACATCTTCAGTGCTAAGTGGAGTATTACTGTATTTCAAGAAAGTCGAGAAACAAATATTTTACCCTAACAACCCTCACTTAGTTCTTAGAATAGTTTCCACAACATTAAAATATTAAATATTTCCAGTAAACACTTGTGCTATTATTTTAGTATTTCAAAACCCAATTCTGATTCCATGTATATACATAGATCCAAAGTAAGCAAATCTGTACGGAGGTCAAGGCATCTAATGGAAAGGTCAAAGTAAGAAAGATCATCTTTAAAATGCTGATGGTTAAATCAAATATTAGTGCCATTTACAGTCTAATTGAGTTTAACAGGTCTTTCCTAGCCTCAAATATTACTTTCAGAATATGATTTTTAGGTGTTCTTCCTCTTTTTTTTTTTGGTCAGATGGGAAATTAATAATACGTTCTATATTCTAGGCAGTAAACATAAGGTATCAAAACAGTCACATATGTTGCAAAACAAGCAATACAGTATAACCTAGTGGATCGTTTCCATGTCCACAATAACTATTTTCATCTTACAAAAAAGAAGACTACTGGTAGGACTTGGTTAAGCATTAAGCTCAACGCAAACTGAGCGCATTGTGTCTAACTGAAACTGACAATTCATTAAAAAGTTCCAAATTGCTGAGAAATGTACTCCAGAATCTCTATTATATGATGTCCATGTTTAAACAAAACATTTTCATCACCGTATCAAATATATTTCATTCATTCTAAAATGTAAAGACAAACACTTCATGTCATGCAGTTTAGTGCCACTATTATCTCAAAAGCAAACAAATCTAAGTGGTTATTTTGGAACCCATATGGTCTTTGAATATCGCCAGTGTTGCAATGTTATAAATGATTACGCTTCCTTCAAAACGTTCAATTTTTAGGTCAAAAACTAATACAAAACTGATGAATCAAGCATACTTCTTGATGCTCAAAAATCAATCCTACAAATATGTAAAAGTATCATACTGGAACAAATTAATCATCAATGTTTCTACTGAACTGTAGGAAGTGTAAAATGATGTTATACTATACAATGGAACCATCTTTGCTTTGTGCTGGAATCATCACAGGAATAGCTCCCATTCTACTTAGATTAGGTGCAGCTACCTTTGGTGGTTCAAAATTTGGGTTTTGTGGTGAGGTATGTTGGAAGTCTTCACTTGGTACTTTGTTGTACTGAGTCTTGGCATACCCATCCATATTAGAAGGAGACATTGAACCTAAGGATGACCGATTACTGCCTATATAGCTTCGAGCAGTTGAAGTGCGACTCTTTGGAGGAGGAACATCCTCTCTGAAAAATCAAGCATATTGAAGAATTTATTTATGAGAGTTAAAAACAAAACGAAACAGTGTATTGGCGAAGGCTTTCATGGCCAGCATCTAATGATTGTTGTGGATTTTTCGGGCTCTTTGGCCATGTTTTGAAGGTTGTTCTTCCTAACATTTTGCCAGTCTCTGTGGCCAGCGTCTTCAGAGGACAGGAGTAGCACTCTGTGCTCTGGTGCTACTCCTGTCCTCTGAAGATGCCGGCCACAGAGACTGGCGAAACGTTAGGAAGAACAACCTTCAAAACACGGCCAAAGAGCCCAAAAAACCCACAACAACCAAAACAAAAGAATGCTGGGGAACATTCTAATGCATATTATATGACTACTAGGTAAAGGTTCCCCGTGACATTTAGTCCAGTTGTGTCCGACTCTAGGGGATGGTGCTCATCCTCATTTTTCAAGCTGTAGAGCCAGCGTTTGTCCGTAGACAGATTCCATGGTCACGTGGCCAGCATGACTAGACACGGAACGCCTTTACCTTCCCACCGTGGTAGTATCTATTTATCTACTCACATTTTTACATGCTTTTGAACTGCTAGGTTGGCAGGAGCTGGGACAAGCAACGGGAGCTCACTCCATCACGTGAATTCGATCTTACGACTGCTTGTCTTCCAACCTTGCAGCACAGAGGCTTCTGTGGTTTAACGTGCAGCGCTACCACGTCCCTTTTTGACTACTACATTCTTGTATTTTCTCTTCATATTCATAGCTTTATGCTTTTGTGTACCAGTTTGCTGGGAAGGTACTACTGCACTCACATCATGCTCCATGGGCAACTGCTTAGCCATAGTGTGTTCCAAACGCTGGACTAGGTCTTTGGTCTGATCCATAATCCCTTTTTTTGTATTTTTATTGGTATCCATATGACTCAGTACCCTTTATTTCATTATGATGTCTCCCTTAAAGCTGTGTTTACAATTCATCAATGTATCAAAAATGCAACATCTTACTTTCATTGTATATTAATGCTAATCTCTATCTACTACAATTTATTCTCTACAGTGGGGTCTCTACTTAAGAACGTCTCTACTTAAGAACAATCCAACTTAAGAACAGCTCCATTTGCTAAATTTTGCTTCTACTTGAGAGCAGAAATCCAAGATAAGAACAGGGAAAAAAACCTTTCCTGCTCTTTTTTTAACCTTAGGTCATCTTAGGTTAAAAAAAAATTTCTCCCCCTAGTGGTAGAGGACGTATTAACCAGCCTTGCATTAGTTCCTATGGGAACTAATGCTTCAATGTACGAAAGCACCTCTACATAACAAAAAAACAGCCAGAACGGATTAATTGGTTTTCAGTCCATTCCTATGGGAAATCTTGCTTCAACTTAAGAACGTTTCAACTTAAGAATACCATTCCAAAACGGATTAAGTTCTTAAGTAGAGGTTCCACTGTAGTTTCTATGGACGGAAAAGAGCAGATACGGATTAAATGGTTTTCAATGCATTCCTATGGGAAATGCAGATTCAACATAAGAACTTTTCAACTTGAGAACCACCTTCCAATACGGATTAAGTTCTTAAGTAGAGACCCCACTGTATTCTGTCCTGACAGAGGAATCTAAATCAACTAAAAAAGATTTGCACTGTAGCTTTGGGTAGCTAGAAGGGGTTTTCAAAAGAAGGAATTCTGCAGGAAGGATGCACTCTAGCTTGTTTCTTTTCATTTGTTTGTCAGGTATTTATTTTAAAAGCAGGATCTGAGTTTAGAATTCCAGAAAGATTTCCATACTTGAGTTAAATGTGACACAGTGCTCAAGAAGTAAAACAGCTTATGTGGGCATGTGTGGAGAAAGAAAGTTTACACTTTAAGTGCAATATTTCTGGCACTATGGCACATCAGGGTATAGGAAATTTCAGAGGTCCAGTAGCCACACATGCCCATCCCTGGATCAAAGAAATTTGGAGGACTCTTTTAATCAATCAATCAATCAATCAATCAATCAATCAATCAATCAATCAATCAATCAATCAATCAATCAATCAATCTTTATTTATTTATTTATTCATTCATTCATTCATTCATTCATTCTATTTATATCCCGCCTATCTGTTCAGTTACGACCACTCTAGGCGGCTAGAGTGGTCATAACCCCTTCTTATGCTTTAGGCATTTTTTAAAAAAAATGATAAAGGGCCTCAATGGTGCTGGGAAGCCTTCAAAATACAGCAAAATTGCCTTCACACCTCTTAGAAGGCACAGAGACTTTTTGAGCAAAAACATGGAGTTTCTGGGGAGCTTGGGGATTCTGGAGACTGCATTTGAGCCACAGAGGTAGATGCATGACAGGCGGACATCATTCACACCACAATCACTATCACAAGTAGTTTAAACAGAGGGAACCTACACTTCAGTGACAAAATACTGCCATTTTGCTGGGAAAAGACTCTTACAACTACACTTTAGTCCTTGTATGAAATTATGTAGGGAAAGAGGAATGAGATTAATTAACAGCATTCACAGATGTGATCTTCTGTCAGACTAAACAATTTTATTTCTTATCATTTCTCTTTATTAGTCATTCTTTTAGTTCTGTTCCTATAACAGGACTGGACAACACAAGGCCCATATGCACTGGTCCCATGCCAGTTCTTAAGAACACGAACCAACTTGAAAGCAAGGCATGGGTATCCCATGGACCTTGCTTTAAATTCAAACCAAAGCTCTTTTTTATGCCTTACCACAAAAAAAAAAAATCAAAGAGGTACACTAAGCATTTTTGCTTTATTAGCAGTTCTACTCCAGACTCGAAAAGGACTCCAGTTCCCCCATAAAAGATTCCAGCTCTCCCCTGGACTTTTGATTGCCATCTGCAAAGTCTCTTTCAAAGGTTAAACAGTTTATATAGTGTTTTACTGCTGACTGGATAGCTCAGTGGTTTAGGTGAGATTGGGAATTCGATTACCCATTGTGCCTCCTATGAGTAGAGCCAGCCTATATGACCTGAAAAGGGTGACCATAACTCAGAATTGACTTGACAGCACATGATTATTTCTAGTGTTGCACTACCAGCGACATTGGTAAGTCTTTGGAACAGAGTCCCGAGTCCAAGTCTTTTGAAACAAGTCCCAGGCCTCAAGTCCGAGTCCAAAATCTTGGGCAGAGGTCAGGAGGGGACATATGCGTATGGCTGGCTTCCCTTCCCAGAGCAGGCCCTTGCCTCTGTGCATGCTCAGAAACAGTGGGCTAGCTCCCCTTCCTCCGCTGCCTACCTTCCACTGCCTCTGACTGCCTATCTGCTGCCACCACACACCACTGTTCTCAGACGCAAGCTGTAGGCTCAGCTTTCCTTCTAAGAGCAAGGCTTGCATATGTCCAGAAGCAGTGGGCCTGCTCCTGCAAGGGAAATCAAGCTGCTGCTTGCTTTTGAGTACAGTGCCGTACAGCAGTGGCAGGAACAGGTAGGTGTGGTGGGGCGGTGGGGGGACCTTGACAAGCAACTCGGAAAAATGTTGCAAGTGTGAATCATTGGAGGAAAACCCCAAGTTGAATCCAAGTCAAGTCACTGGTGAGACTTAAATGCAACTGAACATCAAGTCCCAAGTCCCCATCCCTATGTACCATGTTTTCCTGAAAATAAGACAGGGTCTTATATTAATTTTTGCTCCAAAAATGCATTAAGGCTTATTTTCAGGGAATGTTTTGTTTTTTTCATGTACAACAATCTGCATTGATTCAAATACAGTCATGTCATCTTCTTTTGGCTGCTGCACAATGGCGGAGGGCGGGGTATCACTTAACTGGGGCTTATTTTGGGGATAGGGCTTATATTATGAGCATCCTGAAAAATCATACTAGGGCTTATTTTCAGGTTAGCTCTTGTTTTCAGGAAAACAGGGTACTACTGTCTATAATATATACAGTGGTGCCTCGCATAACGAGTGCACCGTTTAACGACGAATTCGCACAGCGATCTATTTTTTTAGATCGCTAATGTGATCACATACCGATGGTCTCTATGGCAAAAAATCGCTTTGCAACAATCAGTAAGAGTTTTGCTTACCGATCTTCGCATTGCGATGTTGGGGAATCAGCTGTTCGGCAGTTCCAAAATGGCCACCGGAACCATTGGAACGCATTAAACGAAGTTTAATGCGTTCCAATGGGTTTTTCTATTCCGTTTAGTGATTTCCGAATAGCGATGGTTAATCCGGAACAGATTAACCTTGCTATGCGGGGCACCACTGTATATGTGTTCCAGATCTGATCTCCCTTCCAGCTTTAATAAAATTGGGGCTATTAACCTGGATCTGCTGATCGAGTGAAGTGGGCAGTGCAAAAAACATATGAACAAGGGTTTCCAGCACCCCCTGTTCACATGGACAGTGCCTTTCAGAATAGGGAACTGCATTAAATCTGCCATATAATATAGCAGCAGGCATGACACTGCATCTGGCCAAAGGGAAGGCCCTATGTTTTGGTGGGCATTTGAGCAAGGAAAGGTAGGCAACAGGTTTGCCCATTTTAGGAGGAATGTGGAAAAACAATGGTGAACAGAATTTACCTTGATATTATTGTTAGGAGATGAACCGTTGTCCTTTTAAGGATGTCTAACATTTTTCTAACCTCTTGATGCCTATATATGTGGTTACCTAACAAAAGGGAAGGCCCTATGTTTTGGTGGGCATTTGAGCAAGGAAAGGTAGGCAACAGGTTTGCCCATTTTAGGAGGAATGTGGAAAAACAATGGTGAACAGAATTTACCTTGATATTATTGTTAGGAGATGAACCGTTGTCCTTTTAAGGATGTCTAACATTTTTCTAACCTCTTGATGCCTATATATGTGGTTACCTAACAAACCCCCATGACTATGTCCATTTTTTACCTATGCCAATAAAGGTTTTATCTATCAAATATATGTATTCTAAGGAACTTAAGATGTTTAAGTCTTATGTGTATCACTATGTTATACATTTTGGTTATTTTTAAGCTCTTTTTACACATCATACACAATACCAATCTGAATTTTAAAGGGAGTAAACATTCAGAATTACACACCTGATATCATGGTGCACTTCTTTTTCATACTTCTTTTCTCTTCGTTTCTTGCAACAACAGAACATGAAAAAAGCCAGTAACGAAAGAGCTAGAAGAGTCCCTATAACAGCTCCAGCAATTGTACCAGCTCTATTCACAGCTAAAAACATAGAAAAATTTATGAGATGAGGGAGAAATTTTTTTTGTATTATTCTAATATTTATGGAATAGAAAGTGAGCTATTCATTAACTGCTGGTATTACCTACTAATACTTACGCGGTGTGACATTCAGAGTAACAAAACACTCATCTGTGCCAACTCTATTTGAAGCCACACATTTGTATGTGCCAGAATTCACCTGGGAAGCATTCTTCAGCAAAAGAGCCCCTGTATCAGGATCTGTAAATACCCAAAACCTTTGTTAGAGTTTGTATTTATGCTGCTGTTAGTTTAACTATAATAGAGAACAAATGTGATTCATTTAATTAAAACATTAAGATGTGGTACAGCAGAAAATAGAAAGTCATATTTACCAATTTTTGTGAGAGTAGCAAGTAGATCTATCAATTCACACTGCATTACCAAAGCATTTGATGGCACTATTATGCTTCTCTATGCCAAGGCAACTAAGCAGGAGGTATCTTGTTAATCAGAGGTATACCTGCCAATACTATTAGTATACTTTTTTCTGGGTGGAACCCAATCTGATAGGAGACAGATTGTATCTAAGGACTCCAGCCCTCTTGAATGAGGGATTTTCTATATGCACATGTATGGCCTCCCTGACCCCTCTCTCAAGCCACCTATCTTCTCAGTCCAAAATGAGTGCATATTGGTTATCAAATGAGTGTCCTTTGTCCTTCAAATGAAGGAATACTGCTGATTGTGGTCCTGAGCCATTGCCCCTCCTCTGCTAGGCCATTCTCCTGTTTAGTGGCTGTTTGCTTTCTTCAGTGTAGAGCTCAGAATATTCCTCTTTGCATTGGCTGCATATACTATATTGCTCGTGTTGTGTTTTGGTGTCTGGTCTTTTGGGTGAACGAGTCTCTTAGTGTGTTTGTGGGTTTGAAGTGCACAGGTATGTGGTGTTTACCAAAAAATCCTTTTTAGCTTTTCAGACAGCCCACCATGTAAGGAATGACCAGGTTCTTCCATTGGTTCTGGGTCTCAGACTATTCCATTGTCCTCCTGGGTCGGGACATTGCCTTATTAAAGGCCCATTTTGCATATCCACATGCCTTAAGGGATGTCCTCAGAGGTCCATCTTCCTTCTTGGCTTCGGTGAAGGTGTGGATGTTTCTTGATCTGTGGTTTAGCATCCTGATGACCCCTAATTTGTGTTACAATGGGTGATGAGAGTCAAACAGCAGGTATTGATCGGTGTAGATTTATAATCCTAAGCTGCTTTTGGATCCTGTGGTGACTACAGTCCAGGAAAGCCAGCCGGTTGTCTCTGGTGTCTTCCCTGGTGAACTCGATATTTAAGTCCACTGTGTTTATGTGGTCTCTGAAGGCCTGTACTTCCTGAATCTTGATCTTCACCCAGGTGTCATCCATATACCTGAACCAATGGATTGGAGTCGTCCCCTGGAAGGTGTTTAGTGCCTTCTTTTTCACATCTTCCATGGTGTGAAGTGTTTTTTCTGAGTCGAACATGGGGATTGAGTACAATGTAGATAACAAAATGTCTTGTGACAATGAGATACCACCTTCAGTAGAACGGTGACACCTAGTCTGATTTCTTTCATATGAAAACCAGGAATGGAGGGTTGCACAGGAAGAGCTAGCTCTTTTGGCCAAAGTGATGGCTACCAGCAATGCCACCTTCACTGAAAGGAATTGTATGTCCATAGATGAGAAAGTCTCAAAAGACCTTACACAGATGAGCACAAAAGATAAGCTCCATGAAGCCATAAGAGCTCTGGATAATGAAAAGTAGCCAAGTATATCTTTTAAAGAAGGTACAGCAAATCCTTTTGACTTCAGATATAGCAGGAATTCCAACACTGAAGGTAGTATCTCCAGATGCTATCCTGTGTTTTGGAGGAAGGAGCAAAAGACAGCCCATTTGGCCCTATATAAGACCACTATTGCTGCCATGTTACTTTGGATTGTCAGAGTAAGTTTGCCTGATCTTAATCTACACACCATGACCTTCAGCTTCTTAACATCAGGATGGCAAATCTTTCCATTAGCCATTATTGCAAGGTTGGACCACTCAATAAGTAAACAAACTCCCTGTTTGAAAGCAAGACAAAGGGACTGAACTATGGTTGACACTGCCACCATACAGTAATAATGATGCTGTTGAAGTTGCCCCACCTCAGTACTCTCAGAATCAGCAGGAACAGGGAAAATTTAGATTGGGTACTGAGTGATGAAGGAATGTGCCCCCCAGAAACTAGACGAGTTTGTGAGCAGACTATTCAGCACTGAGCATTTTGACTGGAGGTGAAAAGGTTGATCCAAGATGTGCCCCACATGCTGAAAAGGTAGTTTACCTCTATCTTGTTTAGCCATCATTTGTGGCACATGAAGGACTTGTGGCTTGAGAAACCACAAATGTTTCTGCTTAAGCAGTAGTTCCAGAGAGTCATCGAAAAACATACAAGTTGCCTCAAGAAGGAGTCCCCTTGACTGTTTATGTAGTGAACAACTGTTGTGCTGTTCGATATGATCCATACAGTTGACCCCCTAAGGAACCTTGGTAAGTGCCTTGAGTAATTTCAGCACAGTCAGGATCTCCAGAATATTTATATGGAGGTGATTCTCTTATAATGCCCAGAGTCTTTAGACAGTCTAAAGAGTGGGGGGGGGGGATACAAAAAATCAGCAATAACAAAGATACACTCTGGAACAAGAGAGGTGAAATTGTGCCCATTTGAAGGACTGAGACCAAAGAAATTGGAGGAGTTAAAGCCAAGAAGATCAAAACCAGAGGGATTATTGACAGCAGCACTGTGTCCACTTAAAGAGTAGAATGGAATAATGGAAAGGGCTGAAGTTTTGGGACTCGGGAATAAAGGAGTTACCAGTAGGGAGGCAGAAGTATCTGAAATCAAAGCCAGCAAATGCAATTGTGAACAACCACTTTGAAGGATCCAGCAGTCTTCTTGGGGCTGCTGTTCTTGATCTGAGTATCTTCTTTGTCTGCAAAATGGATAGTGATGTTTCTTGGATTTTGTCAAGGTGAGTTTGTGGCACTAGAAGGAGTGATTGCTGAGAAGCACCCAGTACCAGCATGGAAATTAATGTCACTGAAACAAAAGTTAAGTGTTCAGAAAACTATTGGCAGTGTGATGTTAGCTCAGTCAGTTTTGATGGATGTTGCAATGTTGATGGCAAGGACACAATTTTTAGTAATTTCTCCCACCAGAATACAGCGGTGCCTCGCTTTACGATGTTAATCCATTCCAGCGAAATCACTGTAGAACGAAATTGTCGTCAAGCAAAAGTAAAAAGCCCATTGAAACGCACTGAAAACCGCTCAGTGCGTTCCAATGGGCGAAATACCTCCGCGTCCAGCGAAGATCCTCCATAGGGCGGCCATTTTCTGGTGCCTATAATGCGAGGAATCTGTCCTAAGCACAGCGGGGAGCCATTTTGAACAGTGGGTGGCCATTTTGAAACCTGATGATCAGCTGTTTCCTGATCGTCGTAAAGTGAAAAATCGGTTCCCGAAGCAGGGAACCGATCATCGTGAAACAAAAAAACCCCATTCAGTCATCATTTTGCAATCGCAAAAACACATCGTGAAGCGATTTCATCGTTAAACGGGGTAATCGTTAAGCGGGCCACCACTGTAGTCCAAACTTAAGACTGACAGACCTTGAGACCTTGCTTGGTGAAACTCCAACTGATTGAGCAGGATCAAGAAAAGAGAAACCTCCCAAAAAACAAGAGTAACTGTCTGTGGGGACAATCTTGCTACTGTAGGCAGAGCACTTCTTCAAATGGGCCCTTTACCAAAAAACGGTAAAACCTGCAGTAAAGTAATATGAATATTAAGAAAGATAGTGACAGACTGTTGCCCAAGTATTTGAAGCAGACAGAGGTAACTAAAAGAGGTAACTTTTCAGAGTCAACTAAAAACATGGTTGTATGTTCAGGCCTTCCCTCCTGTCAATATTTAATTCTTTCTTTATTTTTTCTTTCATTTTTTCTTTGTTTTATTATTGTACGTGTTATGGACTTTGTAAAATTTTTATGTTTTATCGTATACACCTTATTGGAAGCCGCCCAGAGTGGTCGACCAGACCAGATGGGCGGGATATAAAATAAAATAAATAAATAAATAACTATCTTCCCTCATGTCTCATTATCTAGTAGCCTATTATATTTCTAGTCATACATGCCGCATGGGGTTAATAGAAATATGTCAGTAGCCTCTCCCTTGCCCTTAAAGTTTTTTTCATGTTACATTAAAAACAAAGCGTCTGAAAAAAATTGTGGTGGCCACTTTGAACCATATAGCAACTATGGCAGTCTCATCAACAGGAGTAGAACTCTTACTGTTTTTAGGCAAAGGGAGATCACATATCTACGTAAGAAAATGGATCTAAATAGTCTTTGGATGATTTAGAAGTAAAGCAAACATTTGGGAGACAATTCTGTACAGAATTTATCATATTTCATGGGAAGCTGGCTGGATCCCAGAAGAGTCAACCTGTGTGGACTTGGGCGAGTCACAGAGTCCCAAGTTGTCCCGAGATGAGAAAATAGTAAACCACTTCTGAGTACCCTCTACCTAGAAAACTCTGAAAAGGGTTGCCACAAGTCAGAATTAACTTGACAGTATACATTATTATTTATGTAAACATAAGTGAAAGGCACACTCTCCTTAAAGCTGCAGAGCACTGCTATGTAGCACAACTATCGGCATGTTTTACTCAAAAGTAACATCTACATTTTGATTCGCTTAAATATGCATAAGTTTTCAGCTTTAAATAGTTTTTAACCTCAAATTGTGTTGTGGCGTCCCAATTCAGATGGGATTGTGATCATCTTATCAGAAACACATTTTTGAGCAACAACCCATTCATCAATTTTTCACTGTTTTCATGAACCTGAATAGTGGTAATGTGGAACCAGCAAGAGAGAACCTGAAAAAACAACCTGGCCAACAGATCATGAAACACCAAAAGCAAGCTATTGATAGAATCTACCTGAAAAGAGATGAGTGATAGCCTAAGGAAGAAATTCGCAGAATATGAAGTAGCCTCATATAAACAATTTTTTGTATTATACTGCTAGTAAACCATATAATAGTGAATACTGTAAATTTCAAAATTATATTTAAAAATGTTTTCCAATCAAAGGTACAAAGTTACAATCTGTTCATACTCTTTTCTATGATTTTAAAAATGTATAAACGTACTCTGTGATGATGTAATTGGAAGTTCTGTACCAGTGGTTCTTGTCCAGTAGTAATTTATAAGAGGAGTGCCTTCTTGGGAATTACATTTCAGAATAACATCTGTTCCAATTTGCTGTGATCCTTCAATGTAGCATTTTGTCTTCTTGGGCTTTTCTAACAAAGAACAATTATTCAGCTATGAACAAGACTTGAAGTATGGGCTCATCAATATTTGTAAGCACATGAAAGAGTACACACATAGGTTTGTGTGTGTTTTTTTATTTTTTAAATCCCAGACAAGGTAAATCTACAAGTAACTATCTTTTCAGTTAATTCTGTGCAACTTCATGGCCATTTCTCTGTACAGTATTATAAATATTATGTATTTGTTCCATCCAAAATCAATACTCTTTCAAATTACAAATATAAAATTCAGAGTAAAAATCATTAACTTGAACTATGGGCTATGATGTAAGAGAAAAATTAAGGTGTAAGTGAAAAAAATTTAAAACACTCACAGATCATGCTATCCTGTTTCCCCGAAAATAAGACCTAGTATGATTTTTCAGGATGTTCGTAATAAAAGCCCTACCCCCAAAATAAGCCCCAGTTAAGTGAAACCCCGCCCTCCACCATTGTGCAGCATTGTGCAGCAATCAGAAGAAGATGACATGACTGTAAAATAAAACATCCGCCGAAAATACCCTAATGCCTTTTCAGAGCAAAAATTAATATAAGACCCTGTCTTATTTTCAGGGAAACACGGTAGTAAGTTATGAAATATTTTAAATTTCCACAATCTGCAAGTAATCCAGGAGGGAGAAAAATAAAAGACTACATAAAGAATATAGTACTCAAGCAAGATTCCTTTTCTTTCCTAAATTTCTACTTTGTTCCCCGATTTGTTCTCAGCAAATTTCTCAGCTATAAATGTAAAGTTGCTTCTGGGAACTGTATTTCTCTAAAAACGGATTTGGAAGCAACACTTACTATCTCAACAGTATACTCTTTTTGTTCACAGGACTGCACTTTGCATTTTGCAAGCCATTTCTTTCTTGTTGACAATTTGTGCCTCTAGGCCAGTGATGGCAAACCTACGGAACGCGTACCACAGTTGGCACGCAGAGCCCTTTCTGTGGGCACGTGAGCCATAAGCCACCAGATCGCTACCCCCCCTCCGTGCAGCCAAACCTCAGGAGGCAGCTGCAGCCACGGTGCTGGCATTTGAACAGGCACATCTGGAGCAGCTGGCAGTGGTGGCGGATCCGGAGTGGGGTCCCAAGGCACCTCTATGCCCAGGTTTCCCCCTTCCACTGCCACTTCCAGTTCCACTGCCATGGCATGCCATCTGCTGGGTTTTTTCTTTCTTTCTTCCGTTTGGGCACATGAGCCCAAAAAGGTTTACCACCACTGCTCTAGGCAGATGTATGCAGGAACAAAGCTATACATGCTCAATACAAAAATAAAGGAAGTATACTTCTGTTTAGAGACACTTTCAACATTTGCTATCTAGCAAACATTGTTAGTGATAATCTAAAGTTCAGCTACAATTTGGTGACTGGGGCACCTTGGTCGCAATTCTTCTCAGTTCTTGCATTATTAATAAACCCGACAAACAGAAATATGCTTTAATCAATGGCATAATGTATGGACCATATCTGCTCTCCTTTAAAAAAAACTGCTTAACTAAAACATAGTGCTATTCACAGAGGCAAAAGCAAAAATTCCTCACCAAGCACAGCCAGCTGGACTCTGTGGGTCTGACTACCAGGAGGTTTCTTCACTTTACATTGGTATGTGCCACTGTCACTTGTCTTTAAATTCAGAATATCTATCGTAGCATCTCCAGAAGATGGATTTTGATCGACAAACTGTACACGTCCACTCATATGATACTTATCAAAGACTCTATCTACGTTGTACATTATTACCTGAAAGTGGAAAAATGCATTATGTTACTCAATATAATTTTTATTTTTTTCAGTATGTAGTGAAGAAGTATTTATCATGGAGCTATTCTCAATGAAATTAAAACTCAATGTTTTATTTTACAATTTACAGTGGGGGCATATTGCACATATTCAAACAGCTCATGCAAATACAACACAAAAATGGAAATCATGCAGCAACTAAGGTTTCAAAACTTCACTTACTGGCTGTTCACCATCTGGTTGTACTACAACCCACTCAATGTCAAGAGAACCTTCATCTGCTGCTGCGAGTGTAAATGTGCACAACAATGTAACCTTGTCTCCTTGAGCCTTGGTTATCATGGTCTGATCAGTTGAAGTGATGGTTACACCTTCAGTCAGATCTAGAAAAAATATTGTGAAACCAAATATTTTAAAGTCAACACCTTCAAAATAAAATAAAAGCACACAAAAATGTAAGGTAAAGGTAAAGGTTCCCCTTGACAATTTTTGTCCCGTCGTGTTCGACTCTAGGGGGCGGGGCTCATCCCCGTTTCCAAGCCATAGAGCCAGCGTTTTTTGTCGGAAGACAATCTTCCGTGGTCACATGGCTAGTGCGACTTAGACATGGAACTCTGTTACCTTCCCACCGAGGGGGTCCCTATTGATCTACTTGCATTTGCATGCTTTCGAACCGCTAGGAGCTGGGAGAAGCGACGGGAGCTCACTCCGTCGTGTGGATTCGATCTTACGACTGCTGGTCTTCTGACCCTGCAACACAGGCTTCTGTGGTTTAGCCCACAGCACCACCACGTCCCACACAAAAATGTACCCATACATTAATATACAAAGACAGCTCTGTGACTCATAGCATTATTTCACTGATAATGAAATATCATGCTCAGTGAAATTTAGTTTTAGACTATATGCAACATAGCTTCCAGCAGTACAACTACTTGCTTAACTAAGTGCCATACATAAAAGGGTGTTTTCCATTATTCAAGTGAAAAATAAATGGAACTCTGCTAGGACACATTTCTCCTCTGCAAGTGTAGGCTGCAGAAATCCTAACAATATGCTGACAAATACTGTACAGAAAACAAAACAATGGCCTACAGACTGGAAGTATCCAATATACAGTATATCCATTTCCCAAGAAAGGAAATACTAAGGAATGCAGTAACTACAGGACCACTGCATTAACTCCCCTTGCTGGCAAAGTGATATTCAGGGTGTTGCAACAAAGGCTTTTACCTTACAAGGAGCAAGAAATAGCCAGTTTCCAGCTAGTTTCCAAAAAAGGCAGAGACTTAGAGATCATATTGTGAATATTTATTGACTATTAGGGTGTACCAAAGAATTTCAGAAGATCTGCTTATGCTTTATAGACTACAGCAAATTCTTTGATTGTGTGGATCATGAGAAGCTAAAAGAACTTGTCCTGATGTATTGCGGACAAAACTACTGTTAAGGACAAAATATGAAGAAACAGAATGGTTTCCCACAGACAAAAGAGTCAGACAAGGGCGTATTTTATCTCCCTCTCTTTTCAGTTTGGACACAGAACATAACACATATAAAAATGGACTAGATTCGGATGAAGGTGGACTAGGAGTGAAAATTAGTGAAGAAACATTAATAAAAGCCCACAACAACCAAACATTAATAAGATATACAGATGACACCATATTACTGGCTGAAAATCAACAATGATGGAAAACAAGCCCTGATGAAAATGAAAGAAGGAAGTGCCAAAGCAGAACTGCCATTGAACATTAAGAAGACAAAAATCATTACTACAGAAGAACTGAGTAACTTTAATGTGGATAATGAAGAAACTGACATTGTTAAAAGAGACAGACATACAGACAGATTCATTTGAAATATGGTGCCGAAGAAGAGCTTTGCAGATACCCTGAAATGCTGAAAGACAAACAAGTGAGTCCTGAAACACATTAATCCTGAATTCTTTCTAGAAGAAACATGAAAAAATTGAGGCTGTCATGCTTTGGGCACATCATAAGAAGAAAAGTCTCATTGAAAATAACAATAATGCCAGGAAAAGTTGAAGGAAGGAGAAAAAGACGAAGACCAAATATAAGATGGATTGCTTCCATATGGGAAGCCACAGCCTTTAGTTTACACTGCTGTCAAGGCCAGAGCATTTTGGAGGTCACTCATACACAGGATTCCAATATATTAGAGGTAACTTGAAGGCCTATAACAATCATATAATGCCAAATTCATGTTTTAACTTTTTTCTTCTTTCAACATCTAAATAAATGATATTAATAGGAACCATCTGTTGCAAACTTATTTTTACCATAGAAGGTGTTGTCAAATGTGGACAGAGTGACCAAACTCCTGCATAGCTATTCCAGTAAAAGCAAAATATAGCAATCTGCAATAGAAAATTGCCACTAACAAGTCCTTGCTTAGATTCCTCATTGTGTGCTGGTTGAGAGTGTCTTGGCAATCAGAGAATCTAAACAAAGACTTGTTAATAAGCAACAATTTGTTGATGTGAGTTGCATCATTTCCTTTCTGTCAGCACAGCGACAGAACAAAATTGGGCAGTTAGCCCCTTATATCTAGCAGCTAAAACTATAGCTGTTTTTGAACAGATTGTTATGATAAAATAAATGTGTCAATATATTGCTACTCCAAAACATGTGCAAGCATAGATAAGTGCAGCCAATGTTGGGCTGTATCAGCAAAAGCTAAAATTTAATTCCAGTGTAATTTTTGATGTTTTTGTGCAGTACTTGTGTTTCACATATTTGTCTGTTTGTTTGTATTTTTCTACATAGCTATATAGTAACTTCAGTCAATTCACTCCAGGCAGTTTATGTTTCATAGTAATGGTTTATAATCTATGGAACATGATGTAGAAGGAATGGATAAAGCAGGAATAACAGGTAACTCAGGGTAAAAACAAATGCAACCAATAGATGAAAAGCAACAAAAGGTGATCACTCCAGAAGACTGAGCTGGGAGAACAGAGATAAAAAGGCAGTTACTACTTCCTTTTCTTACACCCAGTGGAACAGCAGTTAATAAAAATGACATTGGGATATCAGACATCAGTTTACTACTCTTACTCATCTTTTGAAAGGGATACAGTAGGATCCCCATATCCTTTGCAGATTAGTTCCAAGCCCCCCGTGGACAATGAAAAGAGTGGATAACAACAAATGATAGACAGACAGATTTGTTGTTGTTTAGTCAGTAAATCGTGTCCAACTATTCATAACCCCATTGACCAGAGCATGCCAGGTCCTCCTGTCTTCCCCTGCCTCCCAGAATTTGGTCAAAGTCATGTTGGTAGCTTCAGAGACACTGTCCTACCATCTCGTCCTCTGTTGTCCCCTTCTCCTCCTGCCTTCACACTTTTCCAACATCAGGATCTTTTCCACGGAGTCTTCTCATGAGATGGCCTAAGTATTGGAGCCTCAGCTTCAGGATCTCTCCTTCCAGTGAGCACTCAGGGTTGATTTTCTTCAAAACGGATAGGTTTGTTCTCCTTGCAGTCCAGGGAACTCTCAAGAGTCTCCTCTAATACCACAATTCAAAAACATCAATTCTTTGACGGTCAGTCTTCTTTATGGTCCAGCTCTCACTTCCATACATCACTACTGGGAAAACCATAGCGTTGACTATGTGGACCTTTGTCGGCAAGGTGATGTCTCTGCTTTTTAAGATGCAGTCCAGGTTTCTCGTCACTTTCCTCCCAAGAAGCAGGCATCTTTTAATTTCGGGGCTGCTGTCACCATCTGCAGTGATCATGGAGCCCAAGAAAGTGAAATTGCCAGGAGGTGATGGGACCAGTGGCCATGATCTTAGTTTTTTTGATGTTGAGCTTCAGACTGCTTTTTTGCCCGCTCCTCTTTCACCCTCTTTACGAGGTTCCTTAATTCCTCCTCACTTTCTGCCATCAGAGTGGTATCATCTGCATATCTGAGGTTGTTGATATTCTTTCCGGCAATCTTAATTCCGGTTTGGGATTAATCCAGTCCTGCCTTTTGCATGATGTATTCTGCATAAAAGCTAAATGAATAGGGGGACAATATACAACCTCGTTGTACTCCTTTCCCAACTTTGAACCAATCAGTTTCCATATCCAGTTCTAACTGTTACTTCCTGTCCCACATACAGATTTCTCAGGAGATAGACAAGGTGGTCAGGCACTCCCATTTCTTTAAGGACTTGTCATAGTTTGTTGTGGTCCACACAGTCAAAGGCTTTTGTGTAGTCAATGAAGCAGAAGTAGATGTTTTTCTGGAACTCTCTGGCTTTCTCCATAATCCAGCACATATTAGCAATTTGGTCCCTAGTTCTTCTGCCCCTCTGAAATCCAGCTTGTACTTCTGGGAGTTCTCGGTCCACAATGAAGCCTACGTGGAGGATTTTGAGCATAACCTTGCTAGCGTGGGAAATGAGTGCAATTGTACGGTAGTTGGAGCAATCTTTGGCACTGCCTTTCTTTGGGATTGGGATGTAGACTGATCTTTTCCAATCTCTTGGCCACTGCTGAGTTTTCCAAACTTGCTGGCGTATTGAGCCCAGCACCTTAACAGCGTCATCTTTTAAGATTTTAAATAGATCCACTGGAATGCCATCACCTCCACTGGCCTTGTTGTTAGCCATTCTTTCTAAGGGCCACTAGACTTCACTCTCTACGATGTCTGGCTCTAGGTTAGCAACCACACTCTCTAGGTTGCCTGAGATATCCAGATCTTTCTGGTATAATTCCACTGTGTATTGTTGCCACCTCTTCTTGATGTCTTCTGCTTCTGTGAGGTCCCTACCATTTTTTTCCTTTATCATGTCCACTACTTTTTTCAGTTTAAGCTTGAATTTTGTTATAAGAAGCTGATGGTCAGAGCCACAATCAGCTCCAGGTCTTCTTTTTGCTGACTGTATAGAGCTTCTCCATCTTTGGCTGCAGAGAATACAGTATAATCAATCTGATTTCGGCATTGCCCATCTGGTGATGTCCATGAGTAGAGTCGCCTCTTGTGTTGTTGGAAAACAGCATTTGTGATGGCCAGCTTGTTCTCTTGACAAAACTCTATTAGCCTTTACCCTGCTTTGTTCTGAACTCCAAGGCCAAACTTACCTGTTGTTCCTTTTGACTCCCTACTTTAGCATTCCAGTCCCCTATAATGACAAGAAGATCTTTCTTTGGTGTCAGTTCTAGAAGGTGTTGTAAGTCTTCATAGAATTTGTCAATTTCAGCCTCTGCAGCATATATATTTTTCACTATTCATAGCACTACCTTTGACTCCCTCTAGTGGCTGGTACTGGCAATATGTGTGAAAATAATTTTTTCTGGATTTTTTTAAAAAGTATTTTAAATATTTTCAGGATAAGTGAATCAGTGGATACCAATCCTGTGGATAAG